CCGCGACTTCACCCTCCAACGCAGTCACTTTCCCGCCCCATGCTGTAGCGGCCTCCGCCGCCTTAGCCTAGCCCTGGCGCTCACACTCAGCTGCAGCCCTCCTCCCCGCCTCAAGCTCCTCATCCTTCCGCCGGAGCTGCTCCTCGAGAGCACCCGCTCTGCCAAGTGCTTGCTGCATCTGAAGCTCTCGCCTCGCCAGTTCCTCGACCAAGGTCCAACTACGGGGATCATTCCTCAAGCGCACGCGCATCTCTCGGCACCGATCTCGGTAGCGGCGGTACTTCTCCAGCGCCCGCAAAAATATCCCCGAGCGGACGTTGGCTCGACGGATGCTCTCCACCTCCAACAAATAAGACTGCAAAGCAAAGACAACGATTAAGATAAAGAACAAACTAAGACGAAGAATAAGCGAACCGACGTCATATTACATACCCTCAAGCCCATCACAGCTACTTCATTCATCAATCCGATATCTGTAACGTCCCTCAACGACGCATTCTCGGCCTCCGAGCATAGCAGCTCGAACTGCGGCACCAAGCTTTCCCCTTGGAGCAATACGTTCAACTCCATGGGAACCTCGATAAAGTGAGATCGCCCCTCTGCGCGTACCGCTGAATTGGTGAAGCCTTCCTGGAACATACGAACGTCGTCGGGGTCCAAGTCGGATTCGGACTCGTACTCACCTCCTACAGCATCCCTTCCTCCTTCCGCCACCAGAGAGGTGGAACCACCCGCCGTAACCACCGAAGGAGCGCTTAACTCACCAACATTAGCAGCCACTGAGGAACTACCTCCCGTCTCAGCGACTGGAACCTCCAACTGAGTCGCCGAAGCGACGGCATCATCATGGCCTGAGCCAGCCAGCGCAACCCCCATTGTCTGTCCACCCTCAAGAGCAGGCGCCGCGACCGCACCCCTCTCCGCATCCGTCGGAGGAGAGTCCAAATTAATTACCACAGGAGGAGCCGGCGTGAACACGACCCTACGCCTTATCAATGGCCTCTCCTCCTCCCCGTCTGATGGCGATTTCGCCCTAGGGCGCACAACCCCCGATGGCCCCTCGTCCCGAAGTGCGGCCCGTGCTGGAGAAGGAACTGCTGAAGATTCAACTGATGCCGCCCTCGGTATTGAGCGCGACACCGGCGCTGCAGTAAGTCGAGCAATTGCACCCTGCCGATGGAAGGCCAACTGAGGGGCCATGACGCAGCGTGCCCTCCCTGATCACAGAAAAACAAAGTTGATGAATAGAGTTGAAACAAAGCGGAACAGAAGAAGAAATCAATTTTTTACCTGCCATAGGTCTACGGCCATGCCTCTCCCAGAAAGATGCCCATGTGCGTATCCCCACCGTATGGGGGAGCACGGCCTCAACCCACTCACGAATCCCAGCCAACGGAGCCGGCGGCAACTTTTCGGCTACAAAATTGATACGAGTTAACGTTTATGAGCACAAGACGTAAGGAGGGGCAAAAAAGGGAATTCGACGATTAAGGAACTTACGTGCATGATTCCAAGCCTCTGGGAACCCAGTAGAGCACGCCACTAAATGTTCAGTCCTGATGTAGAAGAAGTGCTCGAAAGGGCGAGGGTCGACCTCATCATCCAGCTTCACAGTCAGGCCCCTCGTCCCGCGAGGGCAGGCTCGAATCATGGTACCACGAACTCTCTGGGGAGCGTAGATGCTAAGCACATGCTGCAGTGTGACCTCCCTACCGGCCAGTTCTGCATATTTGATAAGCATTGCTAATAATGTGTAAAGAGAAGGAGCAAGCTGACCCGGGCATACCCCGTAGTAACGACAGAAATCAACCACTAGCATTGGGAGCGGGAGCTTAAACCCCAACTTGAAGGGATAGGCGTAAAAGAAGCAATATCCCCTGCGGTCGGTGTGGACCCTCTCCTCGCTTCTAGCGAGAACGACGTCAGCATAGCTGGGGATGACCCCCTGTCCCCGTAGTTGGGCCATCCCAATCTCCCCCATTAACGGGGCTTCATCCACCTGATCCTCCCCACCATCGGCGGTGAAATCAGTCATCGGACCTCCGGGCAGAGATACTATCTCGTCAACCGATGGAGCTTCATCGGTCTCCACCAGTTCTGCACCGCCCATTGCCGGAGATGGCTCTTCAGTCACCGGAGAGTCAACCGGAAGATCCGTTGGAAGAACGTTTTGGGAAGAACTGCCTGCCATTGTTGATTCGATAACGAGAAAGAAACAAAGTTTGAGGGACAAAGACGGAAGTTATGTCAATCGAAGAACAAAGATGAAGGTGAATTAGCAGGAAGAAAAGCTTCTTCGGAATCTCTCTTAGACAAACAATGAGAATATAAAAAATGAATGCCTCAGCCTTTATTTATAGGCAACACAAGTGGCTTTCATGAACCCCAATGGCCACCGTTAACTACATAACCAATCGCACACCGGTTCGATTCTACAGAAACGCGCGTCATTATGACAGGCTCCATGAAGCAGCTTTTCAGTCATCAACCGGCATCTCGCCCTCGAAATGGTTGTAACGACCTACGAACGCTGGGGAGATGTTCAGTGCACCCTCAACATTTTGGACGTCGCCAAACACGTATCAAGCGTGCCCTTACTCCCCTCGGCCGCACAACACACGACCCGTCCGCCATGGTCGACGGGTATGTTCCCAGAACAAACGTAAGGGTCAGAGCACGACAGAGCTCGACCTCACTCGAATTAAGTTAAAAGGGTCAAGTGCCTTCGTCAAGGAGGAGAGTCTAACCTCGATCGAACGGCGACTTGATAACACAATAGCAAAACACTGACACTCTACAAGGCTAAGGGTCATCGCCAAAGAGAATTCGGCCTCGACCGAAGCGACAGTCGACCTCCCTATCCGAGTTTCTCAAACTACAGTCGATGAAATCCACTCATCGAGCTCGGCCAAGGCACGATCTCAATAAGCGGAGGGACTAACTGTATGGGTCAGAATCCGACCTCATGATAATTAACGAATTAATCCCGTCTTAAGCTAATTCATGATTGATTAGTGGTACAACCACTCAGAATTAACGGTATCCAACCCTTATCTGATTCGATCAACAAGGCTACGGCCCGTCCGTCATCATGAAGGCGAAACCCCAACATGGTCACGGCCACTTATTGCCAGCTCACGAAGCTCACAGCTATAAATACAAAGAGAGGAAGCCCTAGAAGGGGGGGCTTCTTCTCCTTTACTATTCAAGAGAGAGAGAGAGAGAGAGAGAGAGAGAGAGAGAGAGAGAAAGATATAACGATACACATATTATGGGAAAGTGGAACATCATTGTAAGGCTCTGAACCTCTTCATGGAGAGGCAGACCACATCAATACTATCAATAAAAGCTTTTAATGTCTCTCTTCCTAACGCTGAGTATTTATTTTCGTTTCCTTCCTTTGGTCCAATGAATTATTACGGTTTGCTATGATTTTTCCGTGATTTATCTATATTGTTTATACTCATAAGGTATATGATAACTTTTGAGCCAAACAATCTAGTTTGCTTATGTATAAGATATTAGGTGTTGTTTGATTTTCTTATTATATTTGGTTTTCTTATCTCTTTAAGAAAAGGTCAACATGTTTACCATAATTGTATTTTTCTTAATTTTCCTAGAAGAAAAACATAATTCTTCCACGTTTGGCTAGTTCCTTTTCTTGTAGGAAAATGTTTGGACTTCTATAAATTAAGGATTCTTCCTTCTCATTCAGTAGCATCCACAATGTAGCCATATGAAGTTTAAGAGTCGTGTTTAGGGGAACTTTACGGGACAAGTATTATTGTGCCACTTGTGTTTGCCTGTTTGTGAGGTTGTTCTCTCGATATTTTGTACTCTATTTTATATAATGGATTGCTCATCTCTGCTGTGGATGTAGGTAAATTGACTAAACCACGTTAAATATTTGTGTCTCTTTTGATATATTTCTCTTTCATCATCTAGTTTATTGTCATTCAAGGTTTGCTTTACTAGCTTCCGCATGACACCTGATTTTTTTCGGTCCCAACATAATGAACCGTCTTTCTATCATTTCAACTCAATTGAGAGCTCTGAAAATGAAACTAATATTTGTTTGCTCATCACGTGCTAAACATAAGTAGGCAACCTAATTCCGAAGCCAAAAACGAAAGGTTTTTTTTTTCTTCTATAACGGCGGAGGCCGATAAAGCTTGTGCACAACTCAATTATATCATTGGGTATTTGCCACCTCCTATCAATAAAGGTATCGGGTAATTTTGTCTATCAAAATTAAAGCAAATGAAAAGAAACACCAAGTATTTTTATTTTTATTTTTAAATAAGAAAATCACCGAATATTTTTTCGCTTTGATGCTAGGATTTACACTTAGATCTCCAAAATTTACATCCACTTTATTGGTCGCTAAGCTATGCTTTAGGATGCCAAAGAAGTTAATGTTGTCAAAAGGTATTTCATTTTCAAAGGGAAAGTATACTGAAGCAGATAACCAAATGATGAAGGGTTTTTTCCACCTTTTTCAACTCATAAAGCTAAGATGACAATAAAACAGCATCCTAATAAAAAATAATACCATCTAATTTCAGTCCAGCTGCTCCGATCCCCGGTGGTATTTCAGTAAATACTTTTTTGTATTGTATATTTATGTTAATTCAATAAATACATAACACATGTTTTTAACAAACATAGTTATCACTTAACTATTTACGGTTTGGTGCTAACACTTGAATGACTTGATTATTAATTTAGTCTATCAGGTCGAATGAACATGTACTAAACATTAGTACTAGTAATTTTACATCAACAACACAAAAATAGCGCGCCAATTATTCATCAAAGTTATGCCCCTCTAAAAAGAAGACACAAGAGCATGAGTCGTGATTTATTTGCAAATTCCACAAATCGAATGTCATAAATGTGACAACTTTTGATAATTGTTGAAACAAAAGTGCAAACTTTCCTTTCGTTTTGATCTTTCAAATTTGCATTTGCAATTTCGTGTCCAATATTAACTATATATCTCGCTTTATACTTTAATATTATTGAAGTAAGAAAATTAACAGATGAAAAATACGGTACAGGAATATATTAGATAGAGAAACAAAAAGGGAAAGTGATCAGAACACACAAACCTAAGAACTGACAATCAGTTCCATGGCTAGCTGTAGTATTATTACAGAAAACACACACATTATTGTGGAGAATATCACAAGAGAATAATCTTAACAATTGCAAGGGTCACAGGTGCAGTTTGATCCACATTTGCACCCATTTCCTCCTTCTGCTGCTTTCTCTCCAAATTCCTCAAAGCTGCAACATTTCAAGTAATCTTTTTTAATTATCCTTCCAATTTCTATATTTTTTATTCTTTCTCGAATTTAGTAAATATACGTTTAAACCAAAAAGTAAAGTAAAATTGGAAGACAACGTACCTCTTCATGGGAGCAACACCCTGAATGATGGTAAAAGTAGTGGACTTCTCCAAGTCTGGGTACATCCCACATCTACAATATACATTAAAAACACTAGTTACAAAATTGATATATATCTTTTTAATTATTTTCTGGGCATGTGGGTGGAATGGCAAAGAAAAAAAAAATAGTAAAGAGGCAGCCGCGGATTTAGAATGACTTCTGTCTGAACCAATATTTTTTACTTAAATTACGTATATATATTAAAAAAAAAAAAAAAGTAGTAAACATTTATATGTACAACAAGATGACGCTCGTTCTGAACCCAGTGACTCTAAATATCAATAATTATATGGAAGCAGAACTTACCCTCCGCAGCCGCTGCCGCACTTGCAGCCAGATCCACAGCCACAGCTTCCTCCGCAGCAAGAAATAGTTTCTTAATTTGTTGCTGGAGATGAGAGATCTTTAATTTGTTGAGAAAGAAAGTTTTAATCACTAAAGAAGTTCTTGTTGTAGTTGTGATGAAATGTGAAATATAGGATGGGGCTTTTATAGGAGAAAGGAGGATAAAATTGATGATTGTGTGCGTGACACGTTGACAATTATTTGAGAATTTGTATACGTACAGTGTTTAATTTTTATACAGTTATTAGTTTTTTAGTCTTGAGGAAAATAGAATCCATCAGCCGACAACGTTTTTGGAATACTGGATAGTATAAAAGAAAAAGATTACTACTCCTATGATTTAAGAGTTTGAGATCAGGAATATTAGTTCAAAATATTACCCCCTATGTATTACAAGCATTTCCCTTTCTGGTAAAGCTTTGCAATTATCCCTAAGGTCAAAAGGCAAAGTGAAATTTTCAACTCTAAATACACATTTGGATTCGGCATCAATCTAGGATTTATGGACTTTTGTCGCTTTATCATATTAAATGGAGTAACATTATCCAATTGGTATCATATTGTTGTAGACTTATCGAAAGCGACTTTCTTACCTATATAATTTGATTCCACTAGCTTTTGATAAATGTAGACCATTTTTTTTGTTCAATTAAATAATTGCTAAAAAGCATCTTCATTACCCGTCTCAATCTATCCAAGTAGGCTTATTTGGAGTTTTTAGATTCTTGAAAAACTCGAAACACAAAGAAATGGTCTTTAAGTCTTTTGTTAAATTCCCCAAATCATCCTATTTGATAATATTAAATAGAATTTGCACCAGCAAGTAGGCGCTAAAAAAAGCTTAAGATATCTCTGAGATACTCGTACCACCAACTACATCAACTATCAAATGATGTAATGAAATGATAAACACTTCTTCACTCTTAACTAAATATCTCAATTGGAATGTCTTCAGAATTAGCAGGGAACCCTTAAAACCTTCATAATGGACTTTCTAAATCACAAATTCAGATTAGTCCGTCAAAAATAAAAATAAAAAAACTATGAGATACTCATGAAAACTTCCTTTATTCTTTTATTTCCAACCGTCCAAGATGGTGTTTCATCAATCATCAAACCCCTTTTGATTTGGGGGAATACATACCATAGCTTTCACGCATTTTTCTTTACGAAAAGAGAAGCATATGAGTACTATATTTTACACGATAAATAGTTTGAAGATTCTTCTCTCACTACTCCTACAGTGTGCCAATATTGGCCCCATAACATCATACAGTTTGCCAATATTGGCCCCATAACATCATGGACTAATATATATATATAGACAAAATGAAGTTTATATACAACATTAAGTTATTTATGTTAATTTAAACAACATGAAATATTGCTAATAATGTATAAGAAACCTTCTATCCTTAGTTTCAACTTCTTTGAGAGCTCTGAAGATGAAACTAATATTTGTTTACTCATAACGTGCTAAATAAAAAGTGTGCAACCTAATTCAAAGTCAAAAGAAGGTAGAACTTTGCCATAGTATTATGGTCGAATGGTATTACATTTCCAACGGTCCAATTCAGATTTGAACTCGCCCGTCGTCTCACCCTCTACCAGATGAATTACAGTACCAAATCCTTTAGTAGAGCGCTTGTGATGACCCGATAGGTCATCTAATGTCTTGAAACTTAATTCTGTAATCCGAAGCCTTAAAAATTATGTTTTAGTCTTTCTCGTTTTGCGTGCACAGTCCGGTCGTCTTTCCGGAAAGTTTTTATGTTAAAACTTGATAAAAATATGAAATTTTGCCTAAAACTTCATTTGAGTTGACTTCGATCAACATTTTTGGTAAACGGATCCGGATTTGTATTTTGATGGTCCAGGTGGGTCTGTATCGTGATTTGGGACTTGGGCGTATGCCCGGAATCGAAATCGGAAGTCCCTAACCCGGGATATCGAACTTTGTCGGAATTTGAAAGTTAAAGACTTAATGAAATGGGAATGTTTGACCAAGGTTTGACTTTTTGGATATCGGGTCCGTATTTTAGTTTCGAAACCCGGCATAGGTCCAATACCATATTATGACTTGTCTGTGAAATTTGGTGAGAAACGGAGTTGGTTTGACGTGATTTGGACGTCCGGTTTAGAAATTAGAAGTTTCAAAGATTTCTTGAAAATCTTATTTGATTTGGAGCTAAATTTATAGTTCTAGGTGTTATTTTGGCGATTTGGTCGTGCGAGCAAGTTCGTATAATGTTTTCAGACTTGTGTGTGTTTAACCAGAAAATAGGAATTTCGGTCAAAGCTAAATCTTAGAAGAACTTGGGTTACTGATAATCAAATTTGGAACAAATAAGAAGAATTAATTTAAACGATAGCTGAGTAAAAGAAAGCAAAGTAAATCAGTGAATTCCAATAATATTATGTGTCCTTACAAATATTTATTCCTCTCCTTTTATAGCTATTTCTAAGTAATACGTTTCTTTCCTCTCATAACAGAGCCATTATGAGTAATTAATGTCATTAATGCAACGTTATAATTAACAATCGTTACTGTTTCGTGAAGATTCTGTAACGTTTTCCATCATTGACGCTCATTAATTACGGATAATACGTATCTGTACTTTTTGCTATCTAGGTTCATTCCTCCGATGTCTCTTCAAATTACCAAGAGGTCCGAGTAACCGTTCCTTCCTGTTTTCTTGAATCTCTGCCCGTGCCTGTTAAGGCTCGTTCTCTTCAACTATTCTTTGCCAGCTGTCATTCTTTTATTGATCCACGTGTCTTGACATGTCAGCACATAATTAATTCCATATGTTAACTTGATTTTTCCTAATACAGATAGTCCCCCACTTGTCATTTATTCAACAATTGAATATTTGGGAAGTGGATCTCATTAAAGCGTGAATTTTTGCCGCCATTATACCTTCTCCAAAACTGACGCTTCGCATGTCACTTCCATTTAATGCTCGTGGCATGTGGCATCTTTTGATTGGGTCTGCAACCCTTCAACGTCTTTCTAGGCTTTTTGCGGCTACATCAATCACGAAGTGACAGTTTTCATTATGACGTTCCCATCATTACCTTTTTTGTTTGACGGTTGCTTCTGAGTATAAATATATCCTTTGTTTCTTCTTTCATAAAAAAGTTTTCCATCTTTGACTTATTCAATCTTCCTTTCTTCTCCGTATAGCTATGTCTTCTTCAAACCCTGATCCTCGTAAAGTTCTTATTGTAGATGAACTTCCTCTTGCTCCAACTAGGAGCAGGAGAGGAGGTAGGTTACATAGTTTAGGATCAACGTCCATTCGAGGTTCGCCTTAATCTTTACCTAGTTCTACTCCTCCTTCTTCTTCTATAACTAGGGGTTCTCTTCCACATAGATATTCTACCAGAAGTAAGGATTCTAATGAACCAGTCCGTGAACCAATAGTAGACGAAATTATCCTCTCTGAACTTTCTTTTTATACTGATAGAGAATCAATTAGGAATCAGGTTTCTTCTATATCCTCTCTTGATCGTGCTGACGTTTACCCTTCTCGGATTACTGAAGGTTTGATCTCTGTTGTTCGTAGAGATTGCCACTGGAAATTTGATTTCCCAATTATAATCCCTAATGCAAATCAAAGGATCACGTCTTACAAGGCTGGCTTTTCTTTCGTGTATACATATCCCTTTACACTGGATTTTAGACCCCCATTGATCCTGTTATCATCGAGTTCTGTCGTTTTTTCAATGTTTGTTTAGGACAAATTGGCCCCATTGTGCGGAGGGTCGTTGCTTGTCTAAGGTACTTGGCTAACTTAGCTCAATTGCCTTTTACCTTTTTTCATCTGATCCACCTCTACTCCCCTAAGCTGTTCCGACATGAAATCTTAACTTTGGTGGCGAGGAGTAAGAGGGTTTTAGTCAGCCCTGAGGATGACAAGGACCGTGGCTGGTATGACAGATTTGTTGTTGCTCCTACTGTAGGGTTAATAGGTGAAGAAAATATACCATTCCCTGAAAAGTGGAATTCTGCACGTAAGTTAACTTTACAACTTTCTCTCTTCTCTTTTCCCCCTTTTTTGTTTTGAAAGGGTTTGGTTTTCCCGTGACTATTTAACTTTCTCTTTTTTCAGCAACCATGGGAACTGTTGAAGAGATTCCCAATTTTCGTTGTTGGGTAGAGAAATTGTTGACTGTTGCTCTGATGGAGGTTAGATCTTGGAAATACCTTTCAAACAGGTTTGGTTGGAAGGTTAAAACTCATGGTAAGTACTTTACCTCTCCTTTTTTCCCCTATTTTTGTTCATTCTTCCTTTAGAATGTATTTGACCCTTCTTTTTATCAGGATTTCCTATTCGTGGTGTAAGTGTTGAATCGATCGCAGCTTCCAGACTTTCTTTGGCAAGAGCTGAGGAGATAATCCTGAGTTCTTCATCGAAAAGGAAAGCTGACAAACCCCAAGATTCTGAAGAGGAAGAGGAACGGGATAGGAGTTCCTTGGTTAAAAGGCCGCGGGTTAGAAGGCGCGTTATTTCAGATGATGAAGTTACTCCTCCCCGTTCTGTTCTCGTGACCGATCCTGTTGAAGCCACCTTAGTGAGTTCTGACGATGATACTCCTATGGCAGCCCGTGACTCTGATGAACAACATTTTTCACGTGGGTTTGATAGTGAAAGTTTTGATTTGGTGTCTGATGAAGTACCTCTTGCCTCTTTCCCCGTGTCTATCCCAGTGGAATGCTCTTTACCTGTTTCTACTGCTGCTGTCTCTGCCCCGCCTCAAGCTATTATGACTTCCTCTACAGTCCCCACTACTACTATTTCTCGCACTGAAGTTGGTTCTTCAAGTGGAAGTAGAGTGATGAAGCAGATTACCATTGAAGTCCCTGCCGATGGTAGTCTTTTGAAAAAGTCAGGTCGGGCTGACGTATGGTTGAAACCCTTGATTGGTCCGGTTGAGAAGTCCAAACTAGAAAGTCATAGTTCTTTGACTTGGATGAATGATATCGTGCAGTCATCACTGAAGGTATTAATTTCTTTTCATGCTTTATTACATTCTCCTTTTACTAATATTCTTACCCCTTTTTGTTAGATCAATCTCATCGGTACAGAGATGATGAAAGGGTTTCCCATACAGAGCAATTAATGCATGACTAACAAATTGAGTCAGACAATTGGAAAGAGCAATATGAAAGTCTTCAGCTTGAGATGGATATTTTAGAAGAAAGCAAATGTACCTTAGAGCAGCAGTTGAGAGTCATGGCATCGGAATTGGCAGTTGAAAAAGCTTCTTCCAATCAAGCGGGCAAGGATAAGAATCTCCTTGAATCTTCTTTTGCTGAACAACTCCCCAAAGATACTGAAGAGATCAGAGGCCTTAAAGCTTTGCTAAATGAGAAAGAAGTTTATGCTGGTGAACTTGTTCAAACACTCACGCAGGCCCAAGAAGACCTCCGAGTTTCTTCTGACAAGGTTAAGTTTTTGGAGAGTTCACTTGCCCCTTTACAGTCTTCTTACGATGTTGTTTTAGCTGAGAGGGAGGAGCTCAAAAGTGAAATTGACCATTGGGAAAGAGACTACGAGGCTCTTGAGGACAAAGCTGCTGTCGAAGTAAGTTGGGCTATATTGAACACACACCATGATACCCTTATGGAGGTTAGCCAAGAAGGCTTTAACTTGGATGCTGAGTTAACAAAGATTAAAGAGACCATTGAAAAAACTCAGCAAGGCCAAAGTTTCTCTTCTCCCATGGCTGATACTCCCGAGTATGTTAAAGCTGATCCTAGTACGGTATATGTCGCAGCTCCTTCAGACAAAATCGAGCCTTCTATTGCTGTTGATGCTATTTTGAATTCTTCTCCTGCTCCTCAGTGAAAGTTTACTTGTGAAGTTTGACTCATTTTTTTTTCCTTTTTGGTTGAATTTGTGGTATTACCCCTGGTCCCATTTTGGGGGCTTTTTTTTTGTAAAAATGACAATCAATTTATGACTAAGTTCATACTTAGTTTTAATATTATAAAGTTTTCGTTTTAACTTAATCCTTTTGAGTTTCTGTTATACTCTTTTTGCCTTGTTTTTTTTATAAGTCCAAGGTCTTGTTTTTAATTAGTGGGTTTCTGTCTTACCCTTTTGACTTTTTACATTTTTAGAAATGCTTTAATAATTTCATGGATCTTTGA